GAGAGAGAGAGAGAGAGAGAGAGAGAGAGAGAGAGAGAGAGAGAGAGAGCGCGAGAATAAGAGGCAAGCAGCCAAAGACGAAATCTCAGTTCTGACTTCCGTCGTCTACACGCGCAGGAGCGGCGGCCGTCGCGACGACGCGCACGCCGACGACGTCGGCCGACCATCGGAATTGCTCGGCTGCGCGTCTCGGCGCGGAAATGGTCTAAATTCGTAGCTTACTGGGATATAATAACGTTACGGCTAGTCAGACATGATCGTAAGCAGATCGTCGGCGGCCAAATCGGATTAGATGAACGATGCGTTTCCTGCAGACTTACGCGCGCCGGGTAATTGCCGAACCGGATAATATCGCGCGAAAATAAAGCCGCGTCTTTAATGAGGGAATTGACTTAAGCAAGCGATGAAATTAGCGCCGGCTCGGTGAGCACCACCACGCGCGCAGCCTGCCGCGAGCGCCAGCACTGATCGTTTTGTCTCCCAAAATTATTCTTGTCTATATATATATATGTCTCCGAGCATGGTCCTGGTCGTCTCTGCTTCCATCATCCCTGCTTCCCATTGTCCCGAATTTTGGTTGATTTTGTTTTTGTTTTCGTTTTGTGTTGTTGTATATGCTGCTGCTGCTGCTGCTGCTGCTGTTGCTGATGATGATGATGATTATAATGATGATACTGGTGATGATGATCATCATGATGATCATGATGATGATAATAATGTAGTAGTGGTGCTAGCGGTGACGGTGGCGGTGGTGGTGATAGCAACGGTGGCTGTGATTTTGATGGTGGTTGCGGCAGCGGCAGCGACGGCGGCGGCGCTGGCGGTAAGGGGTGGGTGTAGCGGTTGAAGGCACGGTTCGGCTCGCAACAGCTGGTGGGTGCGAGAAAGAGCGTTGCAGCTAACCGCTTAGTCATCAACACTTGCCCGGCTCTAAGTGACTTGTAACATTTCACGGAAAATAATCCGCGATGTCGTTCGTGAGCGGTTTTTGCTGCTGCGGTGCCTCGCAGTCACGGAGGTTCTGTACGTATCGCGTTACGGCGCATTGTAACCATCCATCGCTATCGGCGTCGTTAGGAATAATATTCGCAATAACCGTCAACACGCGGTGGCGCTCGTTTTTTGGCTGAATAAATGCGCGCGCGTGTGGGTGTGGGTGTGTGCGCGTGTGTGTTTCTCGCTTCTTCTGCTTCTGGGTAGAATTCCATCGTTAAAAACAGAATCATTCGCGCGGACCTCCTCCCCGCGTGCCGGTTGGGATAGGATCGTGCGCGTGAATCGCTAACAAATTCGCGTTTAATTGCTGGGATCGCGTAAACAGACGGCAAATTGTCCATCGCACGAAATCATCCGCTAATAATGTACTGAAGCTAATCGTCTCTCTACGGCGATGACGTCATCAAACTGTGCGCAGTCACCGCCGTCTGTTATTTTTCGTATATCTACGCGCTTCAATCGATTATCGGTGAATGTCGATTAGAATCAGTTACCTCCCCCCACCATCTCGATACAATCAACCCGGAGATTTCATCGCGGTGTGTGCATTCTAGCTGTTCATTGGCGCAAACTTGCCGTTTGCACTCGACAGAAGGCGCGCGTGCACACTTTCTGTGCACCACCGGAGGTATACGCGCGTCCTCTCAATATCCTAGGGCGCACTCTTATGGTAGCAATGTTGTGTGTGCGTGTGCGTGTGCGTGTGCGTGTGTGTGTGCGTGTGCGTATGCGCGTGTGCGTGCGTGCGTGTGCGCGTGTGTGTGTGTGTGTGTGTGTATTGAACTTGGAATAACAGGGTAGAATTTTTAGTTCCAATGATTATTCTTTCTTCCTCCCACACAAAATTTATTATCAAAGATTTATCACAGCAATAAACCAACGATTTAATTAATTATTGAACAAGCGCGACCTAACAAAAATTAACGCTTCTTAAACGATGGTCACAAATTACATGTGCTGAAAAGGTTATTCGCTGTTTGTGGTAGCCTATAAGCTGAGCTATATACAAGATATTTTGGGCAAAATAAATGCCGGAAGTTTATGGAAGCCAGTAGCAACAACAGAAGCAGCGGCAGTACCACCACCACCAGCAGCAGCAGCAGTAGTAGCAGCAGTAGTAGTAGTAGTAGCTATTTAGTAGTCAGTAGTAGTAGTAGTAGTAGTAGTTAGTAGTGAGTAGTAGTTAGGTAGTAGTAGTAGTAGTAGCAGCACCAACCACCACCACAACCACCTACCACCACACCATCGCAGCAGTCCGACCCACCAGCAGTCATCAGCATGCACGCAGCAGCAGCAGCAGCAGCCAGTCTAAGTAGTAGCAAGCAGCAGCGAGCACACCAACCACCAACAGACACGCAGCAGTACACCACCAGCGCAGCAGGCAGCAGCTCGGCACCACACCACCAGCACCAACCAACAAACAACAACAACAATAACCGAACACAAGCGCAGCAGAGCAGATAGTAGCAGCGGCAGTAGTAGTAATAGTCAGCGGTAGCAGCAGCCCCACCACCACCACACAACCCAGCAGCATTAAGTCTAGAGCAGGTGTGTCACAGCACAGCATAGCACTTACGTGCAGGTCACTCACGCGCACCAACTGCCATGAACCCGCGCCTCGTGCCTGTGCGACACTGACGAGTGACGTCATCGCGTCGGCCCAAGCACCGCGTACGGCATCTCCGTGGAGTTTGTACGCGTCCGCAGTGTTCGCCAGTCGCTACGCGCAACAACAGACGCACGCTCCTCCCGTTACGTACACGTCTGTAGCTTACGACGTTAGTTACTTACACTCTGTTCTGTATACACGCTTAGTTACTTACACGTTCTGGCTTAACTTACACGCTTAGTTACTGTCACAACGTTCTGTTACTTACAACGTACGTTCTAGTTACGCTTACACGCTTAGTTACCTTACCACGTTCTGTTATTTACTCGAACGAATCTCGCAGCCCGGTATGCGGCGAAGCGCGCAAACGCCGCGCAGTAGTGACAATAAATCTTATTCGCATGGCCCTGTTAGAACACTTTCGCACTGTGCCCTTTTGGGTATAGGATAAAGCCCGTATAATCGGTCAATGAGGGAGTGTGTGGCGAGTTTCACAAAGCCTTTTCAAACTATGCATGTAGGTAGAGATTTAATACAAATGCTCGTAATTGTTCCTTTGCTGGTCGGCGCGCTTGGTTTTCTCTAAGAAAAGCGAGTTTTGATATTCCAGGTCATTCAGCCGTGAAATTATTTCTCGTCACATATGCCGTCCATAGATGGCGCGACGAGGCCTTGCTACGAGCATTTTCAACGGCTAATTTTTCTACACAAGCGCTGGGCTGATGTGACCTAGACTGCTGCCGGTGGACATTCCACACGCTGACACTTAACTATAAGTTCAGTGTGCGAAGGATACTGGGCGGAGTAGAAGAGTCCGTAGCCAGTCTAGCTGCCAATTGTGACGTGCGCTT